ATTTAGGCTGACAAAGAAATGTGATAAAGTAGAAATGAAATAATCAGTGTTAAGTCCTAGAGACAACAGGAAGAAAAATAAATGTCAGTATTTCTGGCTCCTAATCTGACACAAATATGCTCACGGACCTGTTGGGAAAGGGGAACGCTGAGAGTTGGGCTGGATGGAGTCCCTGAGCCAGTGCCCACCCAGATAACAGGATGATTTTAGAAATCCACAAGTTTTAATAATTGAAGGTGTCAGGAGAAATACCCATCTGGTTCAGTTCCAAGCGGGGAGAAAGACACTGGAAACATGGAGGCTGATTGGAAAGATGGTTTAGTGAAGCAGAACCATCAAGCACATGGGGCAGCTGACCACAAGTCTCTTGGACTTTGAACGTGAGCTTCCTGTTCCGGTGCAAGAATATGTATTCTATTGATTGTTGTAGGGGTCACAGCTAACTTTGTAGGCTGAGTCCCAGGCTTGGTTGAAGCTTGCTGGGTGGTGCAATGTAACCTGTTCTGAAAGGCTGTTGGGCCATTCCTATCGCGTCTTAATGGCTTTATCCTGGTTTGGATCTTGAGTGAGGGCTAATCCCATCATCCTGAAGCTGAAGGTCTTTTGTCTTGTAGATAGGCTGATCTAGTTCTGCTGAGGTGGGGGCTGCCCTCCAAGAGCACGTTTCTCCTTTAGGGAAATATAATATTCTGCCTCTTTAAATATTTCCTAGGATATTTCATTTTTCTAGGAAAGAGGAGGATGTTACCTTTGTACAATGCAAACTTTCACTTTCTTGAACGTGAGTATAGCTCTTCCCACAATCCAGGACTTTATTAGAGTCTCAGATTGTAGCACACTTAAGACTCAAATGAAGGTGACTTTTGGCTGGAGAAAGAGCATCCAACCAGAAGAAAGCATCAATCTCGATAGCTTAATGACTCCATTGGAGACCCTCCATGGCCATATATAGATCACCTCCACACACAACAATAACTGCACGTATATACTGGCTAAAAATGATGACTGGATTACTGCAGATCCACGCCATGGCCACCAAAATGTGACAAATAAAACAAACTCGTGCAAGTATCATTTACCTAGAATGTTAAAAGTGTAATTAAAGAAACCGTCTGTGATCTAAACAATAAAGGGCAGCCAGCTTGTTAAACTATGGAATTTAACTATTAGATCGATTTAACAGCTCTGCTTCTAACCAATTAAGCAATTAAACAAGTGCAACATCTCACATAAAAAAAGATACACATTAAAAAAGAGTTAAAACTAGTGAAACTACTCTAGCTTGAGATTTTTACTCATATCCTTGGAAGACCAACACACAGCAGACTGATTAGACTCTCAGCAACATATTCCTTGGCTATGTTCCTTTTGTTTCCGTTTTGTCTAGGAATTGTCAACTCACATACAAGATATACCGACCGCTCATTTCTAAAAAAAATCAGCTTAAATTGGTTACTCAAGCGGTGGGGACAGGAAATAACACCACTAGCACATCCAATTTTTTCCAGATGACTTCACCAAAGATAGTATAGTATTGCTCCAAGCATTCGTATTTAATTCATATTTCACATTTTAATGAAAGAAACTGTGAAACAACCTATGCCACAAATCAATTATTTATGATCACAGATCATGTATGTTGTAATTTGTGAGGGTCATACTAATTCCAGATTTTCATCATCTACAAAAAATGTATCTTGGGGTAATAAGAATATTTCTGCAATCAAAAATATTTAGAAAATAGGGTAATATAGATACTGATAACTCTTATTAAAAATCAAGGGGGGAAAATATGCTGCGGAATCCAAGTGAAAAGATGTAATGATTATTATTGTAACTTCTTAAAAATAATGGTTTATTGGGAATTAAGACAAGGGAATAAAGGTATATTTTAATCATTGAGGTGTCACACTCAAAACAGTAAAAGGGGGGAAACCTATACTTGTTTTTTTTTTAGTGTTAAAATGTGTATTAATCTAGAATTTATAAAAAGAATGTGTAATGGAAAGGGAATATGACACACTAAAGAACCAACTAAGTTAATAATTTAATATAGACTATTAAAAGCAAGGAGAGACACTGGTAACTTTTTTATTATTATTATCATTATTATCATCATCATCATCATCATCATCATTATTATTAGGCAAACACATATTGTTTATCTTTATTTTTAAAATAAATATTAAAGGATTATATTTGAAATTTATATAGGATTATATTTGAAATTTATATAGGATTTATATAGTTGAAATGAAACAAAAAGATGTTTCAATTGAGATTAATGAAAGAGGCTAGAATTAATGTGTTTGTTTCTCTCCTTTCTGAAAATTTGGAATGGAAAAGGTAATAATAAAATTAAGTATGCATATATATAAATGTATAATTGCTGTCATATTTGTATGTAAAGGTGATGACCCGGAAATATGTTGTCCACTAAAAAGAGATTTTTGTTTTTAATGTGAAAAACTGAATAAAGTTTGTTAAAAAAATGTATCTTGCTCTTATCATGCTAAATAAAAGACAAGATAAAAAATATTTACTTTCTAAACCTTGTGTGCAGTTCAAGGCATGACACACCCCACCCCACACCAAACTTCTCCATCCTTCACACACAGACACGCACACACAGAGAGTGTGTTTCTAACTAAGTGAAGTGGGCCTAACCACCCCTGTAATCCTCACAGTCTGATTGAACAGGAAAAACAAACCATAATTCAGTATGGGAACTTAAGCAACCTCTTCCCCTATTTCATTGATTTTCCCACAACATAAAATTCAGCAAGCACAAATTGGCAAATAAATTATGGAAGGTCCGAAAAAGCAAGGGAGGGAGCAAAGCTGGTTAGTGTGACAGGACACTAACCAAGATATGCCCTTCAAAGGTTGTTGGCTGGCCTCCTGCCCTCACCACTGACAGGACTGGCTGCCATGGAGTGGAATTTCACCAGTGGTGGGATTCAATTTTTTTTTTACTACCGGTTCTGTGGGCGTGGCTTGGTGGGTGCGGCAGGGGAAGGATATACTGCAAAATCTCCATTCCCTCCCCACCCCACTAACCTGCTTTCCAGCTCCGTTCTCCTGGGCAGGGCAACCAAAGAAGACCCAGCCGATCAGCTGGGACTCAATGGGAGGCAGAGACTAGATGGGGGCGGGGCCAGTCAGAGGTGGCATTTGCAGATTTTCTGAACTACTCAAAATTTCCGCTACCGGTTCCCCAGAACTGGTCAGAACCTGTTGAATACCATCCTCTGAATTTCACCCTGTTTGAGGGGTCACAAGTTGTCTGCTCTGTCACTAAATCAATTTCCTCATTTCTTTCCACTCTGCAAACCACAGATGGGCTGTCCAGCCAGCTCTGGTGGTGGTTTATGAAAAGTGTCCAGGAAAACCTCAGGAAAAAAAGAAGTTGCGGCTTCCACAGAAAACTTCATGCATTCATTACTTACAGCCGGACTCAGCCATCAACTTAGCTGCTGGCCTGGCATAAATCCAAGCCCAGAGATATGGTGTTGCTAGATTCATGCCACATCATAACCCAGGGGAAACAAGCAAGATTTGGAATTGCGGGCAGTTTATATAACCACTGTTTATGTCTTTAACATGGTGCATAAACTCGTTCACTTCTCAAGGAAGGCTGAGGTGTAAAGTGAGGTACAGAGCACTCCAATAAGAAAGGAAGTGGGGCAGCAACCCCAATAAATGGAGTCCCCTCTACTAAACGCAAGTCCTTCCTTCCTTCCTTCCTTCTGCCCATGTCCATGCAAGTCCACCTCTGACTGTCCACTCTTTTCATCTTTTTCCAATGGCACATTTGCTGATGATGCCATTTATAACTGCCTGTCCTCAAGAGTTAGTGGCTGAGGAATTGACAGTAAACTCACTGCAAACGTGAGAATGCTGTTTTAATAACCTTATTCTAAGACACTTTCTACTGTATGCCTCAAAGGATTTCAATAAGAAAAAAAAATCAACCTGTAGAGACATATTTTCCTGCTTAAACACCAACTCAACTCAACCAGAGTGCAACCATAATGACATCTTATGGGGCAAATAAAACCTAAAAACAGCTTTCACACTTCATTGAGAGGAATTCTGTAAGAAGCAGTGTTATATAAAATAATTTGATTTCTTTTCTTGAAAAATAGGTAGTCCAATGAATGAAGATAGGCATTCTCCCGCCTGCAAATGGGCTTGCTCATACTGCATGGTTGCTCAAAGCCTGTAGAATAAACAAAACCTCATTCAACTATGCTGATTTATCAAATATCGGGTATGCAAGTCAACTTGCTCTAAAACTATGATAAATCTGAAGGAGGAAGAAGAGGTGGCAGAGAAGGATCAAATAAATGATTTAATCTCATTTGATTTATCTTGAAAAACAGATTTGCATGCTTAATGTGAATAACACATTCCACAACCAGTTCTATTATTATCTATACGGTAAGGCTGAACTCCTGTTATTTTGATAAATGTCTAAAAGAAACAGCATTCCTGATATAAATCAAGTGACGGTTGCAACCACTGCTCTCCTGCTGACTAGGAGCCTTTTGGAATTGGGACTTTCCTCCAGGAGCGGAACGGAGACCCACCGAGGCCCTCAACCGTCCCCTGGCTCTTCTTCTGCTGAGCTTCTCTGAGCACTGCAAAGAGCAAAGGGGCTTGGGCATCCAATCCCCGTTTGTTTTAGCCAGTGAATAACATTAGGATTCCTAGGAACTTGACCGATTTCATCACATCAGCTTTTCGTTGGCACCCAACCATCTCAATAGAACAGTTACCTTCAGCTGCCTTTGGAGCTTTGGGGTTTATTTCTTTAACCTTACTTCTGTAAAAACTTTCTCAGGTGTACTGGACCGGATAAAACGGGCTCAATGTCTAAACCAGAAGCTGACCCATCCAGTTCCTTTCTCTTTCCAGGGCCAGCCCAATTCCTTGATCCCAGCATCCTTCAAACACTGTTTTCATTGCCCAGGATGACTCCAGCACGAGTTGCACAGCTAGGCCAGCAACAGAGGGAGATACGAAGGAAGCCCTTGTGGTTTTCTCTAGGGGTTTGTTACCTGGAGCATTTTTACAGCCTGGCCTCCAGCCAGGCTGATCTATTTAGTCAGTTTCATGTTGTCAAATATTCTGGAGTGGACAGTTTTATTATGGGGATTCTGGGGAAAGCTCTTCTCTGTCATTTTGGCCTCAGACACTATTGCTGGCTCACACACTACATTATACCCTAATCCTGGGATAACAAAACAAAGTTGTTTCCTTGGCTAACACACACAATCGACACACTGACCCATAAACTTTACAATCCCAAACAAGAAAGAATTATACTTCCATCACGCGACACAACGAGATGTGTAAAGAATAATTCACAGTCATCCTGGGCTTAGAAATAACTACAAGTTACACATCTGGCCCACTGTCCTGCTTGTGCAAAACGAGCCAAGTTGGACTCTGCTTGCACACTGGCAATTTGCCAACTTGGATTCCTTCTGGTTATGCAAAGACTACTGGTCTGTTTTACCAAGGAAAAGTTGAGGATTACATGAGTCTTTGGCAAATAATGGTTGTGAAAAATCTGAATAAACAATCTCTGCTAATGTAGACAATAAACAATCTCTGCTAATTTATCCACAGTCAAATCAGAAACTTTTAAAAATGCTCGTCAGGACTTTTTAAAAAGACTAATAACCAAACCATACTTATAAAGAAAAGAATTTTTTTTTTAAAAAAATAAATGGGATAAAGAAGTAAAAACTCTGCCACACATCAGAACGCTTTCCCAATCTTCCACCATCTTGGGAACCCCACCTCCTTTTTTTTTTTTTTAAACAAATTTTATTCAGTTTTTAACATTAAAAACAAAAATCTCTTTTTAGTGGACAACATATTTCCGGGTCATCACCTTTACATACAAATATGACAGCAATTATACATTCATATATGCATACTTAATTCTATTATTACCTTTTCCATTCCAAATTTTCAGAAAGGAGAGAAACAAACACATTAATTCTGGCCTCTTTCATTAATCTCAATCGAAATATCTTTTTGTTTCATTTCAGTTATTTCAAATATAATCCTTTAATATTTATTTTAAAAATAAAGATAAACAATATGTGTTTGCATAATAATAATAATAATAATAATAATAATAATAATAATAATAGGTTGCCAATGTCTCTCCTTGCTTTTAATAGTCTATATGACTTATTAATTTAGTTGGTTCTTTAGTCTGTCATATTCCCTTTCCATTACACATTCTTTTTATAAATTCTAAATTAATACAAATTCTAACACTAAAGAAAAAAAAAGTATAGGTTTCCCCCCTTTTACTGTTTTGAGTGTGACACCTCAATGGTTAAAATATACCTTTATTCCCTCATCTTGATTCCCAATAAACTATTATTTTTAAGAAGTTACAATAGTAATCATTACATCGCTTCACTTGGATTCCGCAGCATATTTCCCCCCCCTTGATTTTTAATAAGAGTTATCAATATCTATATTACCTTATTTTCTAAATATTTTTAATTGCAGAAATATTCTTATTACCCCTTGTCACCCTGCAGAATTCCTCTTTTAATTCATCAACCATTATCTCTGAAAAAACAATTTCTTTTCAACATTTTACTATTTCCGTATTTCTTTATTTCATGCACCTGTTTCTTACTGCTTCTCCTCCCCCTCTTTTCCCCATATCTTTTCTCATTCCAATTTATATCCCTCTCTTTCTTAATATCTTCCTTTCCCCTTTTCTGCTGGGTCTTTCTGTCTTTCCCGACTTCACAGGTATTCCCCCTTTTGATTGCCTTCTTAAATCTCAACTTTTTAACCTTCCTTCTTTCCCCACTTCTTTGTAGTGTTCTTTGTGTTAATTGTCTATTTAAAATGTCTTCTCCTTGAGTCGACTCTTCCTCCTCTGAAGCTCTTTCTTCTTGTTCTTCAATCGCCATTTCCATTTTTTCTAACACAGAGCAAAGTGATTTGCCTCTTTCCTGTAGTAATTCTCTCATATTTTTAAGTTCCATTTTTAATTCTCGAAGAGATATCATCATTACACACTCTTGTATTTTATGATCGTTAAAGTCCACAAAAAACTCACTTTTACTTTCCTTCTTTTTTCTTTCAATTTTCTAAAGTTCTCAATTGTTCCAGCCCAGGGTCTATACCAAAAACACCAATCAATCCCACAGTCAGTCTTTCCTTGCTTTTTTCTTTATTCTGGTTCTTCTTTCACTTTCTAAAATTCTTACTTTGTTTCAATATTTCTTTAAGATTATATCCACACAAGTTCATTCAGAAACAGGATGCTTTCCCTTGTTTGAGCTCAAGTTTTTGTCAAAAGGTGGCACTCTCCATTATACAAAGTCTTCACCTTTTCCCCCTATTTTTTTATTTAGGGTTTTTCGAACCTCAATATTCCAACATAGTCCAATTTGTAAACTTTATAATTATTATTTTTTGACAATCTTAAGTCCAGCTTTATTTTATGCCTGTTTATTGCCAAAATATTTTAGTCCAATTTAGTTAAATCTTTAGTTCCGGCTTCTTCCTTTCCCGGTTCGAAGCCCCACTTAGCTGTCAGAAATATTTTCTTATTTTTTTTCCTGTCCCTTTGTAATTTCGCTGCTCACTTTTCTTTTCTTAAAAATTCCATGTTACCTTAATCCCGGGGTACTTTTGTTTAGTTGCATCGCCCAATTGTCCCGGTTCAGATGTTATCCACCTCTTCCTTCCCTCCTGCATAAATCTTAATCCAGCTGAGTCCTCCTCTTCGGGGTGGCCATTTTAAACCACCGCTGCAGTCGTCTTCGGTGGGAAAATGACCAAGCCCAGGAGGGGAGATGCGGCTCCCCTCACCCTGGCTTGCGGCTTCCCCTTACTCCGCCACCCCTCCAAGGCAGCTTCAGCCCCTCATCGTAATGATTGGGGCTCTCCAACGAAAGAGCACGGACCATAGCCGCAGAGAGTCGCGATCTACTGTCTGTCAGCGAGGAGGCTTCGCCTTCTTCCGTTGGAACCCCACCTTCTGATTGAAATAAAACCCCAACTCTGCCAGGCAGTGAGTCTTTCCCAGAAAGAAAGAAATCTACTTCTGTCCACTTAAGGATGAGATAGAAAGTCCAAAGGGTCCCAAAACCCACCAGCAATGAAACAAAGATGAAAGATTATGTCCATATTATGTACCTCCAAAAAATAAGGAGGTCATCTTCTGGTTCCCTGAAGCTTTGAATGAAGAAACCATGATAAGTCAAGGCCTGAACTTTCATGGGGCTTCTACACAGAGCTTGGAAACTTGCAGAGTCCCCTGCGTTTTGGGATTTCCCAAGCAGAGCATAAAATTACACTTTTCTGAAAGGAAGACATCGTGTCTGTTGGAGACACTTCAACTGATACAATCCGATGGGATATAGGATTTCCCTGCCCCCCTTACATGGCTCTGCCAGATAACATGATTTCCTTAAACCCTTTGGATTATGTATTGATTGCACCACTCAAATTCTTGAGCAAAACATATAAAGATGAGATTTTGTAAAGACATCTCTGAAGATTTATTTTAATTATTTTGGTTTCTGGGTAAACTTGCTAGTTTCTGATTAGGTACACGAGTATATGTATGCAGTTTATTAGAAGCTTACAAATCAGAAGGTAGTCTTTAAAAAAGCTCTGTCTCTGAAAAGCCTAACAGCTTGTAGAAATATAACTAAAACATGGAAAGCTTTAACAGGGGCAGCTGGGGATGTGATCCTCGTAACCTTCTAACTAACGCAAAAGTGGTCAATGTTTAACATCCAGGCCTCTAAGAGTGTTTTGATCTGAGTGAGACTGAACTCTCCCCAGCTTAGATGGCGGAGGCAGATTGGTGGGGCGCAGAAGAGGCCAGAGAGGGAGGAGAGGCTGAGCCAGTCTTGTATCTTCCAGACCTAGGAAGAGAATCTTACATGGGTTCACCCAATGGGCAATGAAATGACCAGGGAGAGAAAGCAACCGTATTAAGCTCCAGGCTTTACAAAGAAAGAAGCAAAACACCTAATTCAGGGGTGTCCAACCTTGGCAACTTTAAGACTTGTGGACTTCAACTCCCAGAATTCCTCAGCCAGCTGGCTGAGGAATTCTGGGAGTTGAAGTCC